TCGAGCGTGAAAAAAATGAAGAAGATGATGCGCTCGTCAGCCCCGCTCAGTCTAGCAGTTAAGGGCCGGTTGTAGGTGGTATCCGCTGTTAAACAACCATTCCTCTGCCAAATCTCCTTTTCAAATACACAAATAGATTGAGCGAGGGATGCCGTATATTTTCAGAGAACCGACCTTGGTTAATGTTCAAATACGAGTTCAGCTTCATTCATGATTTCGTCACTCTGAAACTCATTAAGACATCAATGAAATTAATTGCTGGGCTCAAATAATTCGAGACTCATTGTCTCTGTGATGTGATCGATGATATAAAGAGTGTCATTAAACCGGGTGGGAAAGCAAATCGCCACTAAGAGTTTTCAAATAAGAAAGTCAGTTAATGATGATTAAGCGCCTTCTGATTGCAGCTGTTCTTACTCTCAATTCAAAACAAATAAATTGTATCTATATATTGTCTAATCATTTTCAAAGTTTCCTATTAACCCACTGCACCTATATGTAATTTATCAATAATAATGTTTGGTGAAGTCTTATCTACAGGCCTCATAAACGATAATTGGCGTTTGCGATCTCGAGCCACGACTCAAACCGCGATTTCATGGCGCGAACGTAAAAATATTGGTCGCGAGCATGATATTAAAGAGCGCGAACAATTTGGTCAGCTTTCATTTGGGTCTCTTGCTGTTTACATAATTTGTTTCATAAAACCCGAACTTTTTAAGTGCGACATACGTGAGTAATGTGCAGTCGACATTTTCTGGCACATACAGAATGTACTGAACGGGTATGTAGGCAAGTTAACGGCTCACGATTTGCATCGAAGTGCTCGCTAATCACCTTTGTATGGACAAGGAAAGGTAGTCCCAGGTACGGAAGTCTGGGTAACAAAGTTCCTGGAAACAGACAACTTGTTCTAATCGGACTACTATTCTCCGTAGCTTGGTCCAGGATTTACACCATACGCCGAACTTTACTCATTTCTTTTAGATTCAGGTGCTATCATAACATTAAATTCTCACGCGCGGTTTCAAAAACTAGTATCAGATATGCTGCTGTCATGTCTGAATTTCTCATGAAGTCAGTCAGAGAGGGTAACGGGAGATCCCGTTGGTGGTTAATTATGTTGTTTTAATCTATCACGGAGAAGACCTCGGGGGGAATATGGTTTTTATCTTTATAGAAATGAGTTGTTAATTGACTCATTGTTATAATTTTCGATTTGCGTGTTATGTGTTATTTCAATTAATCCTATGCTGAGAAAGAACCTGGCTTCGGCATTTTGAGTTACAGAAAAAATCCTTTCATCAATATAATCTAATTAAATGATAAGACTACAGGAGGCGTGTTCAGTATGCCCAAAATCTCTTCGTATCCTCTCGAATTCTCAATGGTGTCCCAGCATTTGTATCCATTTGAATCCAAAGTTTATTTTTTTCAGGACGAAGCCCACCAGGTGCTAACAACGCTTTTGTGGATCACCACGGTGAGTATATGTTTGTAGAATACCTTACACCACGGCTGCCAAAATAATACACGTTGGAGAAAAACTACCTTTTGTGTTAGAGATTTGCCAATAATTTCGTGTGACTCCTGTCCTTTGGAATATCTACTGCCAGCGGGGTATTAATTATAGATAGGTTTCTTATTAAATGTAAGAGATAAATGATGCGAAGATTGCACACTTCAATATCAGTGCATTGAGATTCTGTTACTTGTACATTCGTGCGATGACACAACCTGTTACAAGAATGCAATATACTTCGACAAATAGAGATTAATTTTGTAGTTATCTGATTATTTGATGTCATATTTATAGCTATCCAGACAGTTATTGGTTATCGACGAACGATATGCTTTTCTCATAATGAATGAAGATGAACGGTACAAGTCAATATCAAATTCCATAAATATGATAATCCAAATACAGAATTTTTCTACTTGGTTGTATTTTATACATGTATCAAGTACATTAGGATTCAAGGTGTACATTGTACGTCAGAATTTCAGTTTTGCTTTGAATTTTAAGAAATATGTGGACTATCGCCTGGCGTGGGACCCAGAGAAATATGACAACGTAACTGACATGTATTTACCTCAAAAGTCCCTATGGAAACCAGATCTTTACATTATCAACACGTGAGTATAATATTACAATTCAATGGGAAGACGTTTTTATCTGCTTATTTCCTTTTATAGTTTCTATTTACGAGAGGCTTTGTAGAATCACAATTAATTAAGGAGGAGGAATTATCTGTGCAAGTGGGAGATCTTCCTATAAAGTGAGATTGGCTTGAAATAATGTATCTTGTACCTTCCACGGGTTGAACATGCTTCTTTGACGTCATTCGAAATCGATAAGTACTCCTCATTGCAAACACAGTTATCAACAAACGGCGATACATTTCTTGATATTTTTTCGCGATATTTGATTTTCAATTTTGACAGTACACTAAATATTTTTGTATTTCGCTAAAAAGTCACAATCATACCTACCAGGTGCATGCACTTTCTTGACATTTTTGTCACGGATTGCAATTGTTTGACCTCATATATTTTTATTGATCAAGGAGAAACGGAGAAGTTGTTATCTAAATTATATAAACCTCTGGAATGAGATTATTCCAAAGGGTTACAATTTTGCACGACATTTACTCGTTGATTCTGCATATATTAATACCTAAACATATATCACATACAATTTGGCGGCAAAAATAACATTGTCAAATTTTTCATTCATCCTTTCTAAGTTGCTGGAGCGACCAAAGAGAANAGGAGAAACGGAGAAGTTGTTATCTAAATTATATAAACCTCTGGAATGAGATTATTCCAAAGGGTTACAATTTTGCACGACATTTACTCGTTGATTCTGCATATATTAATACCTAAACATATATCACATACAATTTGGCGGCAAAAATAACATTGTCAAATTTTTCATTCATCCTTTCTAAGTTGCTGGAGCGACCAAAGAGAATCACTTAATCAATTAAGTTGTAAGCTCAACAATACCCAATAGATATGCCGAAATCTATTGTAAGGCATATTTTCTTAATTTGGCGGAAGATGGATTGTTTAAGATAAATCCGTTAGAAAACCCCACAGAGATTCTCTCACCCGAAACGCAATTTTGCGACTTCATTAAATTATTTTAATTATTATAATATATTTTAGCTTAAATGTTTTAGGGCATCCGTGCACTAGCGGATCAGTATGCATGAGGGCTGGGGGGGGGGGGGACGCAAGGATAAAAGATTGCTAGGCAAAAGAGTAGCTGAGACGGCGTCAATTTTATTTTATAATGTATTGGACAAAAGGACCAGAAAATTGGCTACCTTTTAGTTATTGCTAATTATTCTGTTTATTGAAGGAGAAAGGGGTGTGTGCATGGGTTACCGGTGCAGCTGAGAAAGGAGGGTGTGCGCTGTACCCCCTCCCCTCTCCCATGGGTAGATTGATTGTTGAGTATATATATATATATATATATATATATTGTAAACGGTTTTATCCCTTATCACAGTGCTCCCTCTTTGTTTTGTTTAGGGCTGAGGGTGACGGTCACGTGTTTGGTAGTAACGAGGAAGACCTGGCAATAGTACAAAACACGGGACTTGTGTACTCACAAATGGGGAAACAGGTGGCCACGTTTTGCTCACTCGATCTCACCAGGTAGCTTCAATATCATTCATTAATATATGTATTGTGTGGGTTATTGGAAATTGCAGAATATACCTCATGTGGGACTTAATATATCTTTATGTCTCTTAAGCTAATTTAAATAATATGATATGCAGATAAAATAATGGAACAAACTCAAGTATGATGTTCGAAATTTGGCCGATGACGGCCGCATTTATTGAAAGTCCCATTACTAAAAAGAAATGAAGCAGATTAATGATAAACATTGAATAGTGTTGATAAATGATATTTAACATAATGCGTGCGCCTGAAATATCTACATTTAAAAAATATAATTGCACACATTTCAATTTGTGGGGCGTGTTCTAGTTAAAATCAAGGAGTTATAAGTTATCCTTGTTAAAATGAAGTCACTTCCTGTCACTTCAGATTCCCTTTTGACCAGCAAAACTGCTGTATAAGAATGATGTCCAACGTGGTCAGGGACTCCTTGGTCAACTTGACCACTGTTCCTCACGGGTTCTCGATGGAGAAGTTCTTCACCAGTATCGAATGGGAGGTACATATTGTAAATCTTAATCTGTGATCATTATGCATTTTCCAATCCTAAGCTTCAATGGGAAGAAAATGGTATGCGAGATGAAATTTTCGCATTTCTTTTTGTTTTATTCATTTAATTTAGAATTTAGTTTTTTATTCTTATTTATTTATTTATTATTTTTTTTTTTTTGCTGGCGGAAGATTGTAGAAGAATGGGTGGGGGCGACTTTTTCTTTCACTCTTGTAATGATTATAATGCTATGTAGCTTTGCAACACTGATTCGTTCCCTTCAGGTTCTGGACACGAAGGCGGAAGAACAGTTTGACCTGTGGGACAACCCTTTCTCCACGCTGGAAACTGAAAAGCTTCACTGGAAGGAACTGCGTTTCTGTATCCGTATACGGCGTGCAATGTCGTTCTTCACAATAGCCATGTGTTTGCCGTGCATCATACTGTGTGCGCTGTCTTTGCTAGTGTTTCTTATGCCGCCGGGGTCCGGGGAGAAAATGTCTGTAGGTGGGTTGCGATACTATACAGCCAGTAGATAAGGATACTTCTCTATATAAAGATACTTCTCTATTGAATATGTACATTGCCCATCTCTCCTGTAATAACACACCGTTATCTTTGGTAGAAGCCAGAGGGAGTGGCATAAATCACAGACATCAATGTGTTTAAATATATAAAATATAATAGTTATTGTTATATTTTTCTCCGTTTACTCTACTAATGGGGGAGGGGGGGTCCCTCTATAAAATCCGTAATCCGCACCATTAGCTCTAAATGCTCCATTTCATCTCCAGGTATGACGTGCTGGACCGCCCTCGTGGTGTTTTTGTTGATCCTGGTGCGGACGGTTCCTGGGACGGGCTCACAGGTGCCTCTCATAGGTGTGTATCACCTTAACTCCTTCATCTTTTAAGATAAAACACTGATTGTGATGTAACGCAATACAGTCGACTAAATCTAAGCGGGCTACGACTTTAGCCAAGAACTGACTTTTAGAGTTTTTGTGAAGCAGCTAGGGCTCAGGTCTGCAAGTGCGTATGGCGTTCATGCTATTACAGAATTTATCTCACGGAATTCTTTGCATTATCAAGTAAAATGTCATTACAAAATGAAATGGGTGTCTTTTCTTGCGAAACCAATTAACTATGGATAAAAAAAGTCGATTTCTGTTGCTGTAGGTGCACATGCATTATTATAGGATATATTATTCATTAAGGGAAGATTTAGGAACGCAGGCAATTTTCAGAGGTGTAATGATCTTGGAAGTGTCTCTAATATTCGATTATAACTATGATAAATCCTACACCCTGTCCCATCACATGACTTTTTTGAGGTTTGAAAAATTTTAAGCCAAACAAAATCTATAATAAAACTTTTTTATGAAATCAAAGCGTCCGCAGCTAAAGCGTTTCGATGAATTGAATGGATTTGAGGTTTTAAAAATAGAAGTACTTCTGCAAAAACAGAAACACCACATTACTGCATATTGTTCACATAAATAAACGCAGATTTACTAACATCAAATAAAAACATGTGGGTTTTAATCTTATAACGCAATGTTTTTATCCCAATAATATAAGTGTGTGGATTCTGGTCATAATTTTGCAATTATTCCAGGTGGATTTTTCATCTTCACTTTAACACTTGTGAGCCTTTGTCTGGTCAGTTCTGTGTGCACCCTGCGAATGTATCACCATGGTAACGACGGCTCGCGACCACCCACGTGGCTCTATCAGGTGGGTCTTACCCTACTTCCGTTATGTCATAACTTAGAGAAATGTTGGTGCTTTTTCACACGTTAATTACTATCTAGCAACGGTCCATTAAGCAGGTAAAGCGGGTCTTGTACATTTCTGGCCAAGCATTTATTACAGTTGTTAAACAAAAATATCACAAGTTTTTAAACTATTGTGTTGAGACGTTTTTTATCAATTAAATATTGTTTTCGACAATGACAGCGTATGCAATTATCATGGATTAACAAGTGAAAAAATGAAACCAAGAGAAAAATAGAACACATCGTTTCTGATGTTGCATAAAGCAATAAATTGCTATAGAACTTCTAAATGCTCAACTGCCTCGTAATATAAAAGCTGACACCACCTAAAACTGCATTAGAAGTTTGGGCATTGTGCTAGTTGCGCTTCGAACCGCCTGTCGCAATTCGCATTGCATTTGCATCTTTAAACATACACCCCCGTTGCTTTTCATTCCTCCCTTTTCATTTTTCAGCTTTGCAAGCAACTCAGCCGCGTCGCTTGTGTGCAAATTCCAGACAGAGACCCAATGCGACGCAAGAGCTGTATTTCCACCACCGACGAACGCGGGAAGACCAAGGGGCAGCAGGGACCCGCCAACAGCACCACGGAACCCCTGAATGGCGGGCCCAACGACCACGTGGTTGAAGAAGAGCCCGTATTAAGGAGCCCAAATCGGCTGACTCCCCAGTCTGTCGGTTATCTGGGCCTGCCGCTCTTGGGAATACGTGATAGTATGATCGAGTGGCACCTCATAGGCTCGGTGATCGAGCGGTTGCTTTTTTATATTTATCTAGCTGGTATATTAATAACTATAATTGTGATAATATGCCATTTAGTTTAACCTGAGCGGGTGGTTATGCTGAGTGCAAACTTGATGGACCTTCTTAAGACAATGGCGTTCCTAGCAACGACTGAGCCAAGATTTTTGGCACACTGAATTTTAGGGCTTGGATTGGCCCGTCGGACGAAACAGGTGGTGTTGCATTAAGGTGGCGATGTGAATAATAAGATACGTGCATGTGCTTGTAGCAGTACAAAATAGAGACGATGGCCCATTGCATTGCTTTTAGCACCGAAACCATGACCACGTGGTCTTGTAACCATAGAAATGTAACGATTTCATTACAGAATACACATATATTTACATCGATCGCTGAAATAATCTTAAAATTAAAAAGGGGATTATCATATAATGCCAAATCATTCATATCATTCTGTTAAAGGAGCCCAATATTCTGAGCGCTCGGACGCGTTTGGTTAGTTAATAGTCTACTGACCGGATGAAGCGAATAGCAGAGTTGACTCTGATCGTTAATGTAAGTATACGAGAAAAAAAAAAAGAGGCGAAATGGAGTCGGCCGTTGCCAAAGAATCACCTCCGTGTTTACAGCAGGAAAGGTTAGCACAGGGGTAGACTTGTCACCCCATTGTGTTTCACAGTGTATCGCCAAATTGTAAAATATTTGCTTTGTGTATACTAGCCTTCATTGTAACTGTAGGCCTACGGTATTCGGTCATATTCTGTCATCATTGTAGGCCTACGTGTATTGCTGAGTTTGCTTCATTCATTCTCTGTATTCTAGAACATGCCCTTTTACTGCCACATTTAATCAAGTGAGAATCGTGAATCACCACAGCAAGAAGTAGGCCTACAGTACAGTGTAAATACTAGTACATGTGCATATAGAATATCATGATCATGGTCAATATTGCTTTTTATAGCCCTATTTGTAACTGCAAATATACACATCTACTTGAAGCCAGTGCTTATTGTTAAGTTATGCATTTATCTCCGACGATTTAATGACTATCTTCCCGTCATAATCAGTGTAAGATAAGACATAAAATATTTTCAGCAATAAACTATATAAAGATATAAAACCGGAGAACGTAGCCACGTCAATAAGCACCTTGGTGAAGGACTATACCTTTGCCACATCTAGCCCTGTTAAGCAAGTAAAGGGAAAGGATATAATTATAGATCTATCGTTGACAAAAATGTGCGATGTTTCATCTCGCAGCAGTGAAAACTATAACATTTAGGGTAGACCGGGGCTAAACGCCCAGTCGGGGTCAAACGCCCACCCGCTTTTTTTCAGGTATTACTTAAAAATACGCGNCTAGGCCTACTGTAATTCAATCACTGCTGCGAGACAGAGCACCTCAATCTATATTGATGAGAAGACAATGAAGGCTTTTGAGCCCCTTTAAAATTCAGGTAACATACACCAAGGCCTATGTAGCTTAGGCTAAACTAAACTGACAAGTTGGTCAACAAGTGGCGACTGTCCCTTAACATGGGCGGTAGACGAATTTAATATTTTTAATACTATGGCCAGTCGAAATAAAAACACTGTTTATTCAAAGAGGAAGGTTTTGATTTTACGTATATATTTAGATGCAGGGATCTATTGGTGTGGGGTCTTATCGATGCGCATAATGCAAAAATTTAGGTGAGTGCGGGGGAGTATCGACATGCCCCCCGCCCCCCCTCCCCCCCCCCCCCCACCACCACCATGTCACTGTTGGGTGCTCTATATCTTTTCTTAATTGAACAATTTCTTCACTATTATAATAAAAACAGTTTTGCATTTTATTTACTTACAATTTTTTTTTTCATAAAACTCCCGCGGACAGAGCTGGGGTGAAATTTTGATGTGATCTCATTGGAAAGAGCTTCGGGGCTAAATGAAATAAATTAATTTATCTGAACAGCAAAGACAATGACCGCAGTCATCACAAACCTTTACTTTAATTAACGTTAGAAATGAGAGAGAGTTATTGGGGCGGGTGGGGGTGGAGCTCAATTAAGCCCCCTTTACACTGGACGGCGTCCTTTCTGCGTCCTGTAGTACGGTCCCGTTTGAGAGTAAAAAAATAATAATTTACGTGCCTAAAACTGACCGATCATGAAGCATTCATTCTGCAACCAAAGCAATGATTGTGCCCCCTTATTACGACCACAGTGATGCCAGTTTCATCTATCTCACAAAGGACGCAGAAAGGACGCCATCCAGTGTAAGGGGGTTTTACTGATCAGTGATGGAACTAATTCACCCGGAAGTACTTTTCACGTGACAATAATTTGCGACGCATGTCTGCTTATATACTTCCTTTTTTATGTCGGCCACTGACGGGAGAGGATGTGTTTATCGAAGCTCTCGGGGATTGGCGTAGGTTTATTTCCTGTCGTCGCTGAATGAGTAAATTTAAACACAAATGTTTTCTAAGGTGGGCGTAATGATTTCTAATGCAGAAGAGAAACTGCCCTAATCCTGGTTTAGGTTTTAGAATCAACACAAACTATAGACTCGCCCTTCAAGTTCAAGTCTAAGCCAGTTGATGATGTTGGGAAATTCCCAGCACTGTAACGAACAAAACATCGTGCCTCGATATGAGAACTAGATAACTCTGGCGTTTTGAGCATCCAAACTTTACAAAATATCAATGAAGTTAAACAATAGGCCTCGCCCAAGAACTTATTATATGGTACTATATTGTAACATGTTTTTATTTTTATTGGAGATTCTCATATTATTAAATAAATGAGAAGTCTTTTGATGTGGGCTGTAGCAATAGGCCAAAGCTTCATTGGTCCAAATGTTCACTATAGAACATTCAGACCAGCAAACCCTTGATTAAAAAACTGATGAAAATGTTATGTTTTTTTTTTACTAATGAACCTTTGGACTGTCATTTGAATCCTGTGCTGAGTAGTATATTAATTACAGAGTTTCTGCAGGGCATTCAAAGTGAGTTAGAAGGTCCACGTTTCAGTAGTGTCTTACTTTTTGCTATGGCTCATCATGAAAGTGGGACGTTGTAGTCATAAATAATAAGCAACGCATTAAGGATTTCTGTAAAAATACTGTTTTTCCATCAATTTAACTTTGTTGAGGTATAATACCTCTTGAATTAATCTTTCTTCAGATATTCAAATAATGCATAGAATAAAGGTTTGACCATGAATAACAAGATGTACTGAGATTATTGCACAAAGATTGTATTATGCAGAATTTTAAACTTACGAAAGCAAAAACTTCAAATTAACATGATATCAGGAACAGGATTTTGTCACCAACTCAAACGTTACAAAAATCGATGGACCAACTATTAGGTTAACTGCTTATGTAGCTGATAAAAAACGCCTTGTTTGTACTTATATATAACTTTTGACAAATAAAACTGATTTTCTAATTTGCATCGCATTTGAGAATAAAATCTTTTATGAGCAATGGTGGAAATCTGTCAGACAAAAGATGTATTATTGTAAGACACAAGTTGGCAACACTGGTTCATTTACTAGAAGACTGCCTTAATCTTCCTGGCATTTTTTAAAAAAAGAAAGTAATATTAAAAAAAAAGATGAAGAGAGAACAACAGAGACACTTTTATTTGAGGGGTTTGTCATCTTTGTAATTTCAAATTGAGAAGGATATTACTTCCCTTAATATTTGGACACAATTGTATGATTAGGACATTTACAGACATACATGGTATATGCCTTTGTCCAAGAGACAAGATGGATAGAATTAAAATTTAACACTTAAAAAAATAAAAAGATACTAGTAAATATAGAAAAAGGATTCAAGGCATCAGAATGACACATTGCATTTTTTTTTGTACATTTTAACAAGCATTTTTCTTTTTTCAAAGATGCTGAACTGTGCACAGGTTGGCTTGCACCTGGTGAGCTTTCATATTGCTGCAGTAGGTGGCGGTGCAGCAGTTGACAATTGTGGCCTCTATAAAGCATATGACTCTGTCTATGATGCGTAAGTAGAATTTATAGTAACTATAAAATATGAATGCAAAGGTAAAGAAATGTTTTATGTATTTAAAGATTGCTTCTTTTCAAATGGATGCAAGGTGTGTACAAATTTCAGTTTACACTTTGGACCAATTGATGTCACAATTTTAAAATTGCTTACCAAGGAAATGATTAACTTTAATGGAGAGCAAAATGCAAAAAGTAAATTTACAGGCATACTAGTAGTATACATAAGAAATGACACGGAGAGAGTAATTAATCAATCTGGTGAGTTTGAAGACAGGGGGTTAGACAGTTTTCTGTGAAATGTGTTATCATTAGTACATGTAGTATTATATATTGTTAAAAAACCAATATATATATTAATTGTTAATTGTACCTTAAAGTTTGCCTTGACTAACATCAGTTTAACCAGTAACATCAACCTCTGGAAAGGAGAGTGGAACTGACTCATGTGGCAAATTGGTGTTGATTGCAGCGACACCTGGTGGTTGGTTGACACATCTGTTATCAGTCTGAGGAGAGCTTTTGATTGTGACACAACAATCACCTCTGATAACAGTTCAGCAAACTTACAACTTGTTACTCAAAGTCTCAATAATAGGCCTTTTCCTTCATTTCAGGTGCAAGGGGTGCAACTTTTGTTGCAATAAGACATTAGGTGGACATATTAATAACTTGACTCCTGAGAGCAAGTGCATTGACTTAAAGAAGGACTCTTTCCTGTACGGTTGCTTTGAACAAGATGGAGAGGATGTCTGCCCTGTCCACATGTATCCAAGTAATGATTGTGTGTTAATTTTGGTGATTAAAAGGCAGAATTTAGAACTAAGTGGAAGTAATTCATGTTCATTTACAAATAGGAATGCAGCATATTTTTAAACTTAAATATTTAAAGAATATTATTATTATTATTATCAGTATGATGTATCATCCTTGACTCTGGAAAATAAGAAATGATTTTAGAAATATGTAAATAAGAGTAAAATGCTGGTTAAAAGAAGTATTTATGTAATATTTTATGCACTTTTAGGACACTTAAGTCTTGCAATTTGACAATTGGTATATTATATACAAAGATTGTGTTTCATACAAGTTGAAAACATTTAGATGGAGTGTAATTTATTAGTTGCAATTTATTTTGTGTTTTTTGCTTTAAGTACATCCCACCGACTCGGTGACAGATAGCTCCCTCTGGGAAATTGTTGGACCAATCATGGGCATCTTGGCAGTTGCGGCATTTATCCTTGCAGTGTGTTTTTGGCAAAAGAGGCAGAAAAAAGGTAACAATTTGATGGATGATTTTATTACTTGTAGGAGGCCTCACGTGCATGGAAATGCCCAGTTCCATTATTGCCTTTTCTCACTGCACCATGCAAAACACTTACAGTGCATTCAGTATGGCAGACTATCAGATCCGCAGATCAAATATGGTGACCCACTAAAAAGCTTACCATTTAATTCCTGATTTGACACTGAATTATTTAGTAAATTATCTAGTTAATTCTTCCTATTATTATTATTATTATTATTATTATTATTATTATGAAGTGCTTTATTATTTTGTTTACATGTTTACTTAAACATGAAAGCAACTTTGAATATTCAAAGAAATGAAAATTATCTTCATTAACAGGCTTTAAAAAATAATCTTGATTTATTTGCAGCACCAGAAAAAGATGTCACATTGACTGATGTGAAGATAATATCTCAACCGGCCTCCCAAAAGGATGGTATGAATTCCCGTTATTGATATGGGTGACCTTTGTATTTTGTGCATATATATATATATATATATATATATATATATATATATATATATATATATATACCTCGTTGAACTTGAATTTTGTCAAGAAATGAAATTCATGCGTAATACTGTCAGTCATACTATTAGTAACATAAGTCACTAGAAATCATGTATAGATATAAATGTGTGTATGATGTTTGTTTGTTATTAAAATAAATCAGTAATGTAATAAGTTATTATAATTGGCATTAAGTACAAGGATTATATAAGAGGGATTAAGCCTTTATGCTCTAGAAATATATATCTAATTGGATCATTGGTAAGATTGCTCTCGTGAAGAATACCTTGAATTCCTCAATGTGTATTTGTCTGATGTAAGCTTATTTATGAACTTCTAGAAGAAACTCCCCCGGAACAGGAGAACTTAGTGGAAGCAGTTCCAGCCACCACGGGACATGAAATGAGCAGTAAGGTAGTCAAAACTGCTGCAGAGCCCTGGGGAAGTATGGAAGATGATAATACAAGTGTCCAGGAAAATGAAGATTCCTCCACTGGGTCTAGACAAAACAGGTCAGCCCGTCCAGTTGCTAAACCTTGGGGACTGGGTGAGACAAGTAGGAAGTATGTGCCTGACGACCCCCCTGAACTGGCAGTTGGGGCGCAACCAGAAAAACCAGAGGAAGAAGAACCACTATTAGAGGATGGTATGTCTTCAAAGTTTTTGTCTAGGTGGGATTATTTGTGTTTGATCAGATTAAAGGATGGGGCTGTTTGGTACATTTGTTTTGTACTATGCTTGTAATGCCTAGTTTTAGAGGGGGTTCAAAGTTAATATAAAAAACTTGACATTGAAAAAAGTTCATGTTGCTTACAGTTCTGTCAGTTTCTTTATATATTATATTTGTCTAGAAATTGCCACTGTTTGCCTCAGGTTTAAACAAAGCCATGTAAGGCATCTGTGTAACTGTGCACATCTCCTGTTCAACGTGCAAACCTTAGTGCACTGGTCAATGCTACTGGCTCTCTGCTTCAACGGGTGCTTAAACTGGCCCACTAATAAATTAATGTGGCCTTGTCCTTCTCTTAGGAACTATTTTAATGCCCCACATGGCAAGTAGTGAGGAAATTTTGGCCTGCACCCTATTGTTTAAACAAAAAAATTTTAAAGTAGACGGTCACATTTGCTCTAGGTTTGTTTGCTGGTTTGGCCTCTCAGGCCAATTGCAAATTTCTGTGTGTTTGTGTGAAAGTTTTTTTTCACATGTGTTGAAGTAAATGCATAATAATTATCAAATTAGTTTGATTGCCATGAAACTTGTCATGCCATGATGCAGTCATGTTTAGAAAATACACCAAAGCACATAAATATTGAGCTATCTCCTTATCCATTTTGAAAGATTATTTTATCTAGCTTTAAATCTTAACATGTGGTGAAATGCAGAGTTTCATTGCCATTATAAGTAAATGGATGTGTGAATAGGGTTATGGATGCACATATGGATGGATTGGTGGGTAGATATATTTGTAAGGGTGGCTGGGTGGATGGATACACATATGGGTGAATTGATGGATGGATGCTGTTACAAGTTAGTTCATGAGATTACCTTTTTTTGTCTAAATTTAAAGTTGTTTTTAGCTGATCAGAGCATTCTTTTAGAACCTTATTGTGATGCAATCTGTTTATTGGATGTTTATGTTTTAGGGGACCAAACTCGGGTGAAGTCTCTTTCCATGGATCCGTATTACGAGGGCTTGGTGGATGAAAAGTTTAATGTAAGTGTGCTTCTAAAAACAAGTAAAAATAAAATTTGCCCACCAACTCTGTTTACAGTGTTGATGCTAGTTTAACAACCTGTTAATTTTGCTTAAAGAATTTACCATGCATATTTTAATTAAAATGAATAATTCCATCCGTAATGATTTTTCTTTAAGAATTTTTAAAAAGTACCCTTAAAGTTGGAGATTCAGGCAATGGGTGTATTCTGATAAGAAATAAGATAAAAGAAGAAATATAATAAAATAATAAAAAAAATGTAATAAAATTAATAAATTGGTCAAGTAGCCAGCCTTGCATATTGTCTGCCTAGTAAATATTTTATAAGTTAACAGCAAGTTTATGATGTTTTCTTTTAAATTACAGTTAAGTGCAGAGGCCAAGCCTGGAGCATCTGAGTAAAAAGATTATGGTTTTAGGACATAAGGGCATTGGGGTTCTGTACACAGCCTTGTAAAAAGCAGCATTTTCTTGAGCTGTAGAGAGACTTGGGACATAAGGTTGTTGTACTGGCAAAGGGCACAGGGTCATGGCAATGCATTTAAACATTAACCATATGCCGCGTTCCCATAAACCCATCAGACTGGCTGTTTCGATCTAACTCTGCAAGGATTCTCACTGAATTGCATTTAGTTTAAATGTCTGGCACTCCTACCCAAGCTGCTAAGGGGTGATGAACAATAGTTGATTACCCCTTTGTTACTCAATGGGGGGATGCTGGACAATTAAGCTGATTACACTATAAGTACATTATAGGAAGAAGCCCTGCAGAGTTAGATCAATTCAATGGGTTTATGGGAATGGGGTTATATTCTTTACAACATTTCTTTAAAAAAAAAAACTGTATTTTATACTAATATTGACAAGAATGTCATGTTATATACCAAATTATATGTGAAGAGTGAATGTTTTTCTGACTCTAAGAGAATGTTTCCGTAAACCCGTCACAGTAGCTGGATCTTTCTTATTCTGCGAGGATTCCAACTAAATTGCATTCGTTGTAAGTGGATTAAATGAGTAGCATGCTTACTTAAGCTGCTAGGGGGTAATTAACGAAAGTCAGTTCCCCCCTAGTTACTCAAGGGACATGCCAGACAATTAAGCTGATTGCTCTGAAATGACTTTAGCGAAAAGCCCCACAGAGTTAGAACAATCCAGCTAGTACAATCAGTTTATGGGAATGCAGTTTGATGCTCATAAGCTTCACTGTTTGCATTCCCTTGTACCTTAAAGCAGTAGGTTTTTAAAACCATTTTCTATTCCATAAAAACTTGTGATGCTCATCCGTGAAGCACACATTCACTTAGAACAAAAATTTTGTATATAACATGGCACATCAGACAATATTTGTATACAGTTTTGGGGTCATATTGATTTGAATTTTCACATACAGGTTTTTTCCCTAAATTTAATATGACTTTAAGGCATGATATGAAGATCGTGATCATGGTTTGATCAAAAGAAATTGACAATAGTCTTTATTATGTATACATACTGACTTTCTATGTAATCAAGTACAGGTGGAGTAAGCAAACTAGTTACAACAATAAGGCTCTGTTCACATCCAAGTTTATCAGCAGACTGAGCCATGGATCAAATATGGTGCAGACCACTTAAAAAGCATGCCATGCAATCCCCTAATGGATTCCCTGCCTCCCATGTGCACCGTCCTTGCACTGGCAGAGGATTACATAGGAGACTCCTTTATGCCCCCATTTCACACAGACCACGAATCCCATGAATGGCCATGAATTGACAAATTTCACGATTCGTGGTTGAATCATAATCAGTTCGTGAAGTTCTTAACAGATTCGTATATAATCATAGTAAGTTCTTGCAATTCTTGATCAATCGGGAATTCATGGCAAAAATTTTGAGCTGTTCATAGTTTTGGCCACGAACTCCCGATTCCAAAAAATAGTAGTGAATTTCTGGACAATATTCGTGCGATTCCAGCCGAATCCCACGAATATTTGTAACACTATCGCACCTGTATCGTAACTGAATCGTAGAGCATGTCGAATTAGACCAGAAAATTGGCAAAATCTCACAATTCCAGTCGAATCCCACGAATATTCGTAACAATATCGTACCTGTATCGTAAGTGAATCGTGAGCGTGTCGAATAAGTCCAGAAAATTGGCAAAATCTCAGGAATCCTCACGAATTCTAAAATTTGTCAATTCCTGGCGATTCGTGGGATTCGTGGTCTGTGTGAAATAGGGGCCTTAAGGGGATTACTTGGCATGCTTTCAAGTGCTCTGTGCCATATTTGATCTGCATCTCAATCCGCAGAGCAACTTAGTTGTGAACAGAGCCTAAGATCCTGGTAATATATATATCATTGAGGAAAGCATCATGATCAGAAGGGTAGTAAAAAAGGCAAGGGATGCTAAATTAATTGAAAGGATGAAAAGTAAAATTATCTTTTCGGTCACATCTTCATATCATATTTTTTTAAAAATTAATTTTTTAATGGTTGGTACTCAGTTTTATGATGTTATTGTCCAAGGGTGAACCATCTAGGGTAGGGTGATTTTCACTTAATATTTAAACTGCTTTTGCTGTGATCCCTGTGCCCCCCCAGAGGATGTCCAATGAGGAATGTTTATGCTATTCTTTTGTTATTACTTTAAAATGTTCAGTGTTTGATTTTATATCGGTCAAGTTTTCAAAATTTAATGTTATGACATGATTCATTAGAAAAAAATTAGAATAGTCTAGGACTTTTAAAATTGTAAGAAATTGCCCTTGAGAAGTTAAGATGTTCATATTAATTCTTTTAAAGAATAGTCGAGTTTATCCTTTAATGTAAAGGGCCATTACCATACCCTTTCGTACTAGCAGGATCAATCTACCTCCCAGGGGTTTCTCACTAAATTAAGTTTAAGCATGCACTAAAGTTAATTGTCCCCTAGCAGCTTCAGTGGGCGAGATAGACATTTTAGCCATTTAAACTGAATCCAATGTAGCAAGAATTCCTTCCGAGTTTGATCGATCTTGTTAGTTCGATAGGTTAATGAAAACCCAGTCTAACTTCTCTAATATTTGGGTTCGTTCTCATGAAAAATCTATTTTCTAAAAATCTAGAAATCTATTGGTGGTATCTTGTGATCACTGTCTGTGCCCTGAATACCCCGCGGCGTAATTACTGGCAGTGCGAGCGAGTTACTTCCAAAGCTGTAATTAATTCTCGCCAGGGCTCGGAGCAGATTCTCATACCTAGTTGGAAGTTGAAAAGTAAATGGCGGTCGCAGTTGCTTTGACAAATGTGTTTGTCGATTTTGTGCAACGACAAGCACTACCACTAGCCATATTATGCGTCTGTATGCTTGAGTCGTCACAACTAAACTGATGAACTCCACAGCTTAGAGATATACTGCGCATGCATCAAGGTGTCAGAATCTCCTCCGAGCACAGCCGAGAATTAATTACAGCTTTGGAAGTAACTGGCCACCCTGAGCTTCAGAGATAACTTGACACTAACCTCTTCACAATAGCCTGTCTTCATCGTGTCAAGTTACCTCTGACGAAAATAGTTTGACCTAGTTTATATAAGCCAATCGAATCCAAATTTCAAAATTTTTCACCAAAGTTTGGTGAAAACGCTGATTGGTTGGCCGTCAATCGGTAATCCTCGGCTGATTCCGCAAGCTCCATACTAACAACAAAGTTATTGTCGAGTGGGGAGACATCCGAGTAGTGCTGAGTGCATAACCGTACACAAAGAAAGCATGGCGTCTTCTACGAGTGACTACGTAAAATAATGTGTTAAGTTATCTCTTGATTCTTTGCAAAATATGAGTATATCGGAATTGAAACCAGAGCAGTTTGAGGCCCTGCATCATAATCTACTGAGGGATGATGTATTTTGCGTGCTGCCCACAGGTTATGTCAAGTCCCTGATATTGAGCCTTATCTCTGATTGGTCCGGATTTGAACAAAGCGCGCTTTGACTCGTTCGCATTCATTGGCTAGATCGTTCAATGAGTCATTGAGTGCGGGCTTTAAATTTGATTGGCAGGCGGCGGGGGCAATCGAATGTGGTCAGAGGTAACTTGACACGATGAAGATAGGCTATTGTGAAGAGGTTAGTGTCAAGTTATCTCTGAAGCTCAGGGTGTAACTGGCTTGCACTGCCAGTAATTAAGACGTGGAGTATTCAGGGCACAAACCTTGATCACAAGATACCGCCAATAGATTTTTAGAAAATAGATTTTTCATGTGAACGAACCCTTTATGTCAGAACTTGTATAAGGTCATAAAATAGAGATATGGTGTGCTGTGCCCCAATGGTGCCTATTACATATAGGGCCAAAAGGTCATGATTCAACATGGTCTATTATGTGCTAAGAGATAACTGACATTTATTTTGGACATATTATACGTTGACAGAATATATGTAAGTGTGAGTAAATTCTTGAGACAACCAAATATTAACTCTGTAAGAATAATGTTCTGTCACTGAACTGTTACATTAAGAAATTTTTTATGTTCCACTGCATGACACTTAGTGTCTCTTTTTTAAGTGGATCCCTTTACTCAATGATTTGAATCATGGGTTACTCATGTGTACTGTTTATTTTTAGCTAAAATTCTTATTACAAAAAGTTGTGATCGCATACAAAGAATGTTTTAAGAAGAATCAAATAAAAGGGAATTACTGGAGTAATCTATTTGCATCAAAATTTTAGTGAACTTTATGTAAAGTTTATTAAAGCATATTTTAAGTCATTGTAAGTTTGAAATAGATTACTCAATAAAATATGAATGTGGCAAGCTCATAGTACTTTGCAAATTTAGAAGGTAATTTTCCATACCATCATCAAATATTAATTTTTTTGTTTGTAAAACAACTAAAAATCATGACAAAAGCATAGCATATTACATACCACTGTATGTAGGCATTAGTGTATCAAAGATATTTGATACTGGATATGACAGCTTTATGTTAACCATATGACAACCATTCTCTCACAATGTTATTGTAACCCTCACCACCTATTGTTACAATATAAGCATGTAGCTGGTGAGCAAGGTTTGGGGACCCTATTAGTGTCTAATATTTTTAGTTGTCGCTGTAAAGTCTTGCTGTATACTAATACTTTGATGCTTATGTAACTTATTAGGCAAGGACATGGAGTGTTCTATTTGTATAATTATTTACTCCATAGTTGTGCTTATATAAATGTTGTCCACTGTTTGGTTTTCCACAAAAAAAAAAAAAAAAATGGGAACAATTATTAGTTTTTTTCAGTAAAAGAGGGGTAACACTATTATGGCACGACCAAAATTGCACGCAAAGGTGTTCCCTTAATATTGTCAAGCCACAATTTTTTTTAGCATTTTACCAGGGGTTGGTTACTGAGTGTATATTTATATACTTCAGTGTTTTAAGAGAAA